AGGAGAACTGGGGCTGAGCTCATCTTTACAGAGATGCTTTGCATGCTGGCTTGGGGATGGTGTTGGAAATGGTGGCTGACCCCATTATCAGGCTCATAAATCCCATCTCCAGTGTGGCGGTGAGGGGGCTGCTCCCAGGCCACGTGTGGACGTGCACCTCTGGGCGTGGCCTGAGGTCGGGAGCTGAATAACGTGGAGTCCAATAACGTGGAGTCCTGCTTTGTCCGTCAACTAGGGCTCAGCTCTGCTGGAGGCTTCGTGCGGAACGACAATCGCTCTGTTGCCCAGAGAGCCTCACGAGTCACATGGGGCAGCGCGGGGAGGCGATGAGAGGCCTGTAATGCTAGACCCACGATCCCTTGTGCGTTTCTCAGCCTCGCCCACAGCACTAGCGAAGAGACTCACTCCTCCTCGACTACTGCACCCAGGAGACTCAGCCAGCAGGACTGTTCAGAGCGGATGGGCAAATCCAGAATGCTTCCCCCGGGACAGGAAAGGCTTCTCCACCTATGGAAATCACCTATAGCAAGCGCATTGGGAGGCAGCTCCAGAGGCCCTGCCAGAGCAGGGGCTGACAGGCGTCTGTGCGGGTGTTCAATGTCGTCACTCTTCAGCGTGGAGGAGGCCCCAACGACGCTGGACATGATCACCTGTTTACTGGGCACAGATATTTGTCATTCACCCTGGGCAGAGCCACAGCCATCTCTGGAGCATTTAGACTAGTGCCTCTGTTGTGCTAATTACCAATTAGCTGCTACTAACTCTAGGGGGAACAGGACCAGTCCTCTGTGTCTGGCTCCTGCCTTTGGAACCCGGTTCTCCCAACGGGCTGTTACATCAGGAAGCTGATGCGGTTCAGATGGTGCTTCTGGGCTTTTCCTGCCAGGTTACTGACTGTAGTTTGTTCATGGTTACCCCAGGTTTAGAAAGTGGAGACATGGGGGAATCTTTACTGTGTCGAACCGTTTTCTACAGAGCTTGGCTGCTGTTGTTATAAACATCGTAGTGCGGCTCCTCTTTGCAACAAGCCAGTGTCCAAAATAGAGCTGAGTCTACACAGCACCCTTAGCTCGAAATAAGCTACGCAATTTGCAATACGGAATCTATTTAATAACGGGCTGCTTTAGTAGACGCGGAATAGCTATTTCGGGATACCCCCGGTATCCCAAAATAGCGCCGCAGTGTAGACATGCCCTTAGCGTTGCTGAATGCTGACCAAGAGAAGTCATGACACATACTAGGTCCCTTAGTGACCCGAACGTCTAAATCACAAAGCTGACATGAACAATCCGATTCCAGCCTTCTCCACTGGTTCACGTCAACAGGACATTAAAATGAAGAAAAGAACAGGGGAATGGGCCCCACTTCTGTCACCACCGCTCAGACAGATCCTCATTCAGCACTTCAGACGTACCTCTCATTCCTGCAGCTCCGGGGTCTCCTTTGGGCCCTGCGGCTCCAGCCAGGCCCGGGCAGCCTTGGAGAACGGCGAGTCTATCGGAGCCACTGAGACCCACGATCCTCACCTCTGGGGTAGCAAACAAATCAGTGACTGACTCTTACAGGAGTCTCAGGAGCGGGAACATCTTCAAAGCATGGGGGGGGGGGGGGGGGGGCGCGACTGGGCACGGCATCCAAGCACTTCATCTAATATATCAGCCCCCTCGATACCCCTCTGAGGTGGCTCCTGCTTAAGGTCTCAGGATGTCTGTGGCACGGCAGGGACTTAACCAGGGTCTCCAGGTAAGTGACCAAACCCTGGGACCACCCATTCTTCTGATCAAATCCCCCTCACAAGCTACAGCTACCCCTTTGTTAGCTATTCATGCAAAATCCAAGCACTTCATCTAATATATCAGCCCCCTCGATACCCCTCTGAGGTGGCTCCTGCTTAAGGTCTCAGGATGTCTGTGGCACGGCAGGGACTTAACCAGGGTCTCCAGGTAAGTGACCAAACCCTGGGACCACCCATTCTTCTGATCAAATCCCCCTCACAAGCTACAGCTACCCCTTTGTTAGCTATTCATGCAAAACCAGGCATCTCACTTTCAGCAATGAAACACACAATGCGCCATCTGACTTGCTGGGAAACTGATAAAGGAACCAAGGTTACAAAGATCTATTGTTACTGTATCTACAGGTATCAGCTTCAAAGATGGGCTGATCCTAAGCTAGCAGCGGGAGAACTACAGAGCTATGGGTGGTTCTCTGGAACGTACCAGTCTCCTAGGTCCTGAAATTAAGCAAGAGCTGCTGAGATTTCTTGTTCTCACTGATGTAGACTAAGTCAGAATCTTACATGAAATAGGTTTTCTTGTGATGTGTTATTAGTGTAGCGTCTGGTCCTCAATGAAACCAGGAAATTGACACAAAATCAGTTAAGTGAACACTTCAAACCTTAGAGAAGCTAGATTGGTTGAAGGCATGCAGTGTGTGTGTGTGTGTGTGTGTGTGTGTGTGTGAGAGTGAGTGGGAGGGAGGGAGGAGGTCAGGCTGACTCATTTATCCCAGCCTATGTTGACTTTCCCTAACTTGCAACAAGAGTGCTTACAAAGGATGAAATTTTATTCTGTGTTTCTCTGTGGTAACAATTCAGATACTGTCATGAGATTTAAATGGAAGGGCCATGTGCAATTTGTAATACTCTTGTGAGACTAAACTTATCTAAATTCCAGCACTCTTCTGTGGATGGTATGTTCCAGAAAGACATCAAAATCTTGTGTAGGGTACCACGGATCTGTTCTCCAGCACAGCGTGCCAGCAATATGTGTCAAGCTGCATTGTTGATTAGAGAGGGTTAGACAACAGAATCCTGCAGTTATATTACAACCACAAACTCTATTCTCTTCTGAATTTATTTTTGCCCTAGAAAATCAGATCATTATTAATTCTGCGTATTCAGGGGTGTCTCTCACATAAGGAGAGGCTGGTCAAAAAGGAGAGAGGTTAAGAATCATTTAGAGGTAAAATGAGTCTCTAAAGAATCCACTCTGCTCTTACGAGTGCAAAGGAAGAAGTAGCAGATTAGACTGTATCTAAAAGTAGCAGATTTGTGTGTCTCACCTGGGCAGGTGTCTTCTGCCACGGCAATCGCTGCTGCTATGGAGAGTAAAGTGATGAGGGTTTGGGGTGTAGCTGTCCCCATGGCAGGGGCTTCTGCAATGGCAGCTCCAGTTGTGTCCTTGTCCTAGTGGCTCTGCCTCAGTGCTCCAGGGCAGTGCAAGCCTTATGAAGGCAATACATAAAATAGCAGACTCCACCCCCTGCTCCTCACCCTTCCCACTCGCCACACTCAGCTGCCCGTGAGATTGTTGAGGGGAAAAGGATGCAGATGTAGACACTCAATAGCCGTGATGACGTAATTTGAAAACTCAGCCCCGCTGATGTTCCTGTCCCCAGCTCTGGGCGTGCTGGGTCGGAGGTGTCTGATGTTAAGCCTGGAGATTCCTCGGGGCTTGTCTGGTCTGACGGGACGTGCTGCACTTGGTGAACTGGGTTGTGAGTAAACACCCCAAAGCAAAATCTGGAGCCTCTGCTTCAGACCACGCACCCTCCCCATGGCTCTTGAGATTAAAAAGACAGAATGTCCGCGAGGGCTTGTCTGCTCGGGGCTTGTCACAGAACGCACTCTGAATGAACTCCAGGTGTGAATTTGGGGGGGATTAGTTTACACCACACTACATCCCTGGTCACCACAGTTGTGGGGAGTCCCATGCTTCTCCTGGCGAGGTGTATCAGGGTGCCACCCCCTCCCTTGGGCTCCACCAGTGCCCGGAGACCCTCCCCTACTCCTGGTCCCAAGCCCCTTGGGATGTGCAGGCTTCTTAGCCTCTTTGCCCTTGGGCAGAGTTTCCCTCCGTCCTCTGTGCTGGGGGCGTCCCTCCTTCCTGTTTAGAAAGACTCTGGGCAGGGCGAACGCCCTCTCACCGGGGCCTGTCTCCACTGGGCTCTTTGGGCGGTGCTCGTGGTGGGAAGCAGGAGTTCTGCGCTCCGGAGGGTCGGTCTGGCAGGGGAACGGGATCCCTTGTGGCTCTGGCACCCTGAAGGGGCTTCTCAGGGCCTGCTCCAAAGCGGGGCTGTAGCACGGACCCGGGGGTCCGTCTCGTGGGGATTTGGTGGAACGAGATGGGGAATCGATAAAGCAGAGGGCTAATTTCTGCCACAGCCCCGCCAGTGGGATCACGCTGGGTACAAAGGGGAAACATTTGCTTCATTGTCAAAAATTCTTGATTGCTTTTTGCCCAGTTCCCTGGAAACTCTGCCCCAGATGGTTACGGGAAAGGAACTTTATCCAGTTGCCTAATTCTCATGTTTGTGCTGAGCTAGTCACGGTTCTTAGAAGAGGAAGAACTTTCCCCCTTAGCAGGATGTCTTGCATCACTGATGGCTTTTCCCTCCCTTGTGCTAGGATGGGAATGTGCCCAGGACGTACCTAACACCCCTGAGCAGAATCTCCAGGAATCAGCTTGAATTTCTCACTCTGGGAAGTGCTGAGTTATTTGTACTTGGCAAGCTCCTTGTTGTTGAAACTGAAGGTTGGTGAGTAACTTGTGATTTCCTATCATTTGTGGTGGGTGTTTTATTTCCAAGCTTCGAGCTGCTTTGGGTTTACGTAAGTGGCTCTCACAGGCCATGCCTGCCTCTTT